TTGTTTTATTAGAAAGGTGTTCATTGTAGAAGATCCTGCAATTGGCTTGGAATGCTATTTTAGCTTTGTCAATTTGTATATCAATATGTTTATTGCATTGGAGCAGATAATCTATGTGAATACCTAGATATTTAACAACTTTTTTATGAGGAATATTTACTTCATTATCTGTGCCGGAGATAGTTATGCAAATTTGAAAATCTTTACATCCCACTTTAACTTTTGAAGATAAATCATCTAGCGGTTTTCTGAACAAAATGGTTTCGCATTTACTGGGATTAAGTCTTAGGTTCCAAGCCATGTAATACTGGTTTATTTTTTCCACTAAATCTTCTAGGTTGTCACGTACCGTTGTCACTTTGTTGCCAGCAGTATAAACAATTAGATCGTCTGCAAAAGCTAAAGCATATGATTTCCCGTTTTCGTTAAGGTTGAAGAGTCTGGGCAGGTCCCTTAAAAGAATATTAAATGATATGGGTGAATTGACCGTTCCCTGTTGCAGTCCCTCCGTTATTCTAAATTCCTCAGTTGACAGGTTTTCACCGTTCCAGGTGAGGAATGTCTTATTATTAATCATATCCCATATTTGATATATGAGCCAGTTAGGGCACTGTTTCTTATTTAACTTATAAAGAAGTCCATTCAACCATACTGAGTCGAATGCTTTTTCAATATCTAGAAGGGCTGCTCCTACATTTTGGCTTTTAGCAACTTGTGTGTTGAGGTCTGATATGAGTTTATGTATTGCGCGTGTTGTCGAGTGTTGGTGTTTAAAACCAAATTGGTAGTCAGGGATGATTTTATTATTATTGCAAAATTCAGTTATATTTGAGTTGATAATTGCTTCGTAAATCTTGTTTAGGCTGGAGGTTAAGCTGATAGGACGTTAGCTGGAAGTGTCACTGGGATTCTTATTTTTTTTTAGAATTGGGAGGACTGTAGCTCTTTTCCAAATTTTGGGGAAATAGTGGTGATTTAGTGAGTTATTAAATATTATGGTTAGATCCAATTTCATCTTTCTCGGTAGGTGTTTTAAAACTATGGGAGATATATTGTCGAGGCCACTCGACGTTTTGTTTGGAAGGTTCTTAAAAATGAGATCTATTGACCAAAGGCTAGAAAATGGCTGTGGTTGGGTATCTAACTGGTTAGAGTTACATAGCTGTATTGTCTCTGTTGAATTGGGTTATTGTGGAGACCGAGTCTCTAGAATTCTTAAAGCTGTTTTTGATGGATTCAGCTGTGGCGTCTACTAATTGTTTGAGATGTGTGTTGGTGTTGAGGTAACAAGGTGAATTAATTGCTTTGTAGAATGCTCCTATAATATTTAGTTTATCATGTGGAGCTGTAAAAATGTAATTATTCGCTATCTTATGCACTTTAGAAAGGTCGCACTTGCTTCTAAGCAGGGTGTCTGAGTCATTGAGTTTAACCTGTAGATTTTCAATATGCGAAATCTGTTTGGCTCGAAAAATTGCATTAATTTTGGGGAAAAAGGCTTCATGATTACTATAATCTATTTTTTTAATTTTGTTGGTCCAGTATCCATCAGTAGAGATTTTAAGTTCTGACTGTATAGCTTTTGTGGTGTCTTTTAGTGCTTGTTGCGGCGTCTCGCAATAAGCTCGCGAATTAACCACTCCTCGTTGGTAAATTAATACCGCGGACCTCGTTCGAAAAATGATGTGATGGTGAATGGTATTATGTATTTTAAATGATTGACAACTTAGTAACACACTTATATTATAATATAAACTTAACGTAATGTATGTGTATGTGTGTACTGGTTGTGTTTTGACTGATCGATGTGTTCTTGTTGATGATTGAATATGTTCTGCCGAATGAGGAAATGTATAGGTGCTTGCTGGAACGGATCGACTCTTGATTGGTGGGAAATGCAGAATTATGGTTGGTATAGGTGGTCAAGAGGTGGTACTATGAATTTGAAGAAGTGGGGTTTGGTGTATGTATTGTTACTTCGATTCCTAGAAGTCAGTGCCGAAGTATAAGAAAGGGTCTTAAGAACCGCGAATGGTTTGCACGTGATGTGCAGCTGTCCAGGAATCTCCGTTTATGACGGTTTGGTGACCGTGTCGACGGCCCAAGACGCGACGAGCGTTGCGACCATCGCCTACCTGCGTTGGGTCGCAACAGTGCTTCTTTAGCAATTACCGATATAGGTCTAGTCGAGTGCGGATCTGTTATATGGAGGTCGTGCAACAGAGAAACGAGATAACTCTTTATCTTCAAAAATGTGCGGATGTTGTGATTTAAATATCTTTGAATTTTATTGCCAGGTTTGAATTTAAGTACAGTACTGATTATTGCATTGTAAATAACGTTGTTGATGTGTTCTAAATTACTATCTATTTCGGGGATTGTTAAATTGCGATCATTTGGAATGTTATTGTTATAATTTCTGGCTAGCTTTCTAGTAAACTTACGCCAGTTAGTGGCTTTGAAATTAAAGCGGTAATGTTCCGGGACCGGATTCCAAAGCGGTGTATTATCGTTAGAAAGTTCAAATATGACAGAGATTGCGGCATGATCACTGACATACGGTAGAGTTTTTGCCTTCCCATTTAGAGTATTATTTAATTTAAGCCTTGCGTCTGCTAGACAGATGTCAAGAAATGAATTAGATGGTTTAAAAGTACGCCCTGAGGATGTAATTATTCTTAATTTGAAGGTAATTCCATAGCTATCTTCCCATTGTGTCATGTACCTACCCCGTTGGTGATCTAACTTATCACCCTATGCTATACGTCTTGCATTAACATCGCCAGCTATAATGTAATAGTTATTTTCATCGTGTAGATTTAGTTTGTTGAAAAGATTATATAATTCGCAAGAAAAACGTTTTCTATTGTCGAACTTAGCATAAACACTTACTACAAATAGGTTCCTATTATTATTTAAAGCTATCTTAATTATAGTAAACTCTAGTATTTCGTTTTACCGTAGAAATTGGATATGTAATCTTCTCAAACGGTATGTTCTTCTTAATAATGATAGCCGGACCGCCTCCTTGTGTTGCATTGGGCCTGTCTGTTTTTAGGATGTGGTAGTTCATGAAGGATACCTTATATCTTGCGTTGAATTTGGTCTCAGATAGAAGTAGAGCGTCATGGTTGTGTTCTTATATAAACTGTTGTAGTTCTAGTCTTTTGGCATTGGATATAATTGAGTTGACTTTAATTGCCGCAAATTCAATTTAGGTTCCCAGGTTTATGGTTTGATCCGTTCTAACTGGTGAAGAGAGTGTTTAAAATGTATTCAATTTTGTTTGTATTGGTTGCTATCTGGGCTGCCAGCGTTTGAATCTGATTAGAGAAAAGCGAGGCTATTTCATTTTTAAAATCTTGCATCCATTTTCGTGGTTGTGAGGATTGATGACTGTTGTCGTTCTGGGGCTCATTCCTAGATGAAGTTGAATTGTAGAGGTGATCATCGCTCCTCCTAGTTGGTGGGGTATAATTGGAGGAGAAATCTGCCTGTGTTCTTGAAGTCGCTTGTGCATATGATATATTTTCCCTAACAGTATTAGTTAATTTCTTAACCTTATTTACAGTAGCACGTTGTAGATTGGTATTGCATACTTTTTTTGCTCCAACGCAAATTTGATAAATTGACAGCCCTTATAAGAGGCTGGGTGACCTGCCTGGTTACAATTCGCGCATTTTAATGCTTCTGTGTTATCCAGAGCAGTGATAGGGCATTTTCCTGGTTCATGTCATTGCGCGCACTTCCCACATCTGAAGCTCAGCGAGCAGTTTTTGCTCGCATGTCCCAATCTTTGGCAATTTTTGCATTGGAAGATAGTCTGGCGCTTTAGGTGCTCCCACCTTATCCGTTGATACGCTAGTATTTTGATTTTAAATAATTCTGCCGTTCTACTCTCCGCAGAGACTTGAATAAGATAATGATATCTACCAGGATCAGCCTTACTGAAGTTAAATTTATTTAATTTGATAATTCTAAGATTGGGAATCTTTAACTCTTCTAATTCGCTTTTAATTTCCTCCGTGCTGAAGTTTCCCTTGATTCCTTTTATTATTAGTGATTTAGGTTTAATATGATTAGGAGTAAACATATAGTGTTGAATTTTATGTTCTTTCAGCTTATTTATTATTAATTGGTGGTGCTCAATCTGGTTGATATATATGGTGTGGTTATCTTTATTTACTTCCTTAACAGCAAATGCTGATTTAGGAATTTGCGTGGATTTAATACTGTTTATTATTGTCAATATATCTGTGTTCACTGTATAAATTGGTGGAGGTTTTGAAATTTTTTTTTGTATTTCTGTCCGTATTTCCTGAATCTGTTGCATTTTACTCAAGTTCCATCTCATTGTTATTGGAGAGAATGCTATAAGTATTATGGCTATTACCAGGGTGTTCTAGCGGTGAATCGCCTTTTTTTCTGCTGATTTTACGGGTTTTCTTTGAAATTTCCCATTGTTCCATCGGCGCTTCGGAATTCTCATCTTTCCGTGCGTTTTGAGACGCTTCCGCTAGGGGCGTTAGTGATTGGCTTTTTCGAGCTGTATTTAGGTTAGGGGTAGCCTTACTTTTACTACAAACGTTATTCTCTTTAAGGAATTGTTTATATAATCTATCAAGTTGCAGAGAGTGAAGCTTAGGCGCTTTCAACTCTTTAAAATTCAAAGAAGAAGAAGTCGTTGCTTCATTTTCCTTATTCGAGGATTCAGGCGATATGCATCGCTTCGATCCTTGAGCCCTCGACGATTCCATATTACCCACTTTTATCTAGTAAACGCGGTATAAAACCCGTAATAAACATGGTGGATTAACGTCTACAATACTGTGCACTGTTGTAGCTAATAGATATTGCAGTAACTAATAATTCTTTCACTAGCGTAAACTAAACGCACGGAATATTACTCGCGTTGTCGGTCCTACGTCCTTCCCCGATGGCGGTCAAACTCGGACTCAGACTCTACCCACTGCTCCACGGAACCCTCCTATTTTCCAAACATGTTGTTTGCTCATTTGTTGGGTATGGAGGTCCCGATCCCACATTATTATACATAATAGATACAAAACTGACTTTTAAACTTAAATATCTAAAAATTGCAGAACTCGCTGTGAAATATTTTAACATACCAGCAATATCAATTGCCTCCGAAAGATGCTTTTCAACTGCTGGGAATATAGTTACCCCCAGAAGAAGTTCATTGTTATTAGAAAATGTAAATATATTAGTTTTATTTTGTATCAAAGCAGACAATTCATTGAAGAAATTTTGTTAATAAGAATTTTGTATAAAGTATGTATGTAGGTACTGTAATTAGTACAAATAATGGTACTCGTGAGGAATATATTCAGTATTAAATGTGTATTATAGAAATTCTTGCACGGTTGCATGTGTAGATTCTGTGCAATTGGACTACCAATAATTTTGAAATGTTTATGCGCGACGATATACGGTTATCCGACAATTATCCGACCACGCCATGCATATTTACGCATTTAATTAGTACCAGAGTTAAAAAATACTATTTTTAATTTGTATTAATATAAACTTTAATTAATATCTTCTACGTGAGGATGCATTCAAATGAGAAATTATGCATACGTTTTTCTAAAAACATATCGTTATCGATTCTCAGCACATAGCAAAATAACGCACAGAAATGTATTCGACAGAAATTAATATTTATTTTGTACAAACTTATTTACAATAAATTAATACTTTGTCAAATACCGTGACGAGCTTATATTGTCTGTATAAATCTGTTATGCGTAGTTTACACTATTAAGTCTATCAGTAAGTAATCTACTATATTTTGTCAGATTTAATATTTGTTTACTACGAAATCAAAAGCGCATATGTTTCGGTGATATTTTGAATTTACAGTGTATTACAAGTTTATTCAAAAGAAAGTTTAGATTATTTATTGGTACACCTAATAGTTCTTTTTCGTGAAATTCAGCGTGTGTGTTTTTCTACCACAAGTAAACTATGTACAGTTTCTCAGTTGAATGCATCTTAATCAAAAGTATATTAAGCAAGGTTTGTATTAATGTATAATCGTTATTTGTGACTTCCATATTAATTACATGTAATTAAAGTTGTGTTAACCATATTACTATCAAGGATAGATACAAAATATATAATGCCTTTTAGAAAATATTCAAGTCATCATATAATAGTAATTGTGATAATACTGCAATTAGATGCCAATTATAAGTGAAAATTAATTCACAATACTTTTGTCATAGCTGTTAAGGAAAACAAAGTTACGGTTTCTTGTTATTCAGAGATACCTAGAGCATTTAAAGATGATTTTACAGCACGTATTATCTTGATCATACCACTCGTAGAATTAAGTTTTACAGTTACTTTTAGACTCGATACTCATACCAGAAGTTTAGTTAATGAGATCGGGTATTAAAGTCCCTTTCAAGCATTTTAAAAAGTAAGCTAAACTCTGTACAACAGGCCCCCGCATTTCTTAGTGCGTGAAAACCGAGAACGTTGGAATTAGCTACCGCGACTACAACTTACATTAACATTTGTAGAACCTTCACTTTCTTGAATATACTTTCTTTATATACAATTATATATTTATAATTCAGTGTTGTGTATTTCAACTCTAGAATAATATTTAAATTCCCAACTAGAAGCGAACCCATAAAGGCACATTTTTACCGCTGGAAGTGTATCGAATTCTTAAAGTTACGGGGCCCATATTAACAATCCTAGTGTCTCCCTGAGATGAAATACGCGCAGGTTCGCCCACGAAAATCTTTCCTAATGGCTCCCTGTGATGAAATAGGCACAGATTCGTCCACATAATAAATTCAAAAAACCAAACTCGCCATTCCTCAGCTTTCGCAGCTGCTTAGCCCTGGCTCGTAACAATATATAAAAATTAGCTACCGAAACTTAGTGAATAAAGTTAAACCGTTGTATGAAGATACAGCTGAATGCGTATTACAATAGATTTTTACTTCGATCTAAAGAAAATTAATGAAACTTGATTTTTATGTATATATAATAATTTTGATATATTCAGAATATCTTAATCTGATTATATGTATATGCTCTGATTCATTTGTTAATTTGAGCGTTAGAATATTAGTTTACACTGAAATCACGTATTTGAAACTTTCGAAAAACTTGAAAAGTTTAACCTACATATTAACACTATTCCTACCACGACCGGTTACATGACCGTTTTTAAAATTTCGATTACAATTTCCTATATACAACGTAATTGAGTCGCCTTTAAACTTCACGACTTTTCCTCAAATATACGTATAATACATTTTTCAATACTCACTTCTTTTTTTATTGTTTATTTTCTGAGAAAAATTTGTAGTCTGTCTTACCTACCACAATCGGTCATTTGACCGGTAGAACGATTTATATCTTTTTGTAATAGTATTCTCTCAAAGACTCAATTCCGAAACTATAAAGTCGTTACAAACGAAAGGTAATGCAGTTGTGGCATGATTTTAGCCGAAAAGTGCCTCCCGGGGACTGCTTTACGGCACTTCCAAGTGTTTACAGTTCTCGCTCGCCTATCGGTCTCGCGGTGTTTATTTGCCTGATTGGTATCCGAAGGGGTCCAGAACCTCGGATTTTCTTACACCGTCTTATCTACTATGACTGTAAAATAAATAAAATCATAGTCGAAGGGGATGCCTAGACGTCTTCTCACGAATTCAAAACAGTAAAGTCTTGTGACCCGAACAGAGAGCATCAAAACGTGAAAGTTACAAGGAGCATATTCGGCAGTCTTTTATTATTTTGCATTTTTATTCTATTATTATTCTACTCTTATTTTATATGGTATTACGTGTTATAAGTGTCATTTTCAAAAAAGTGAACAAAACCAACAATACTTCGTAGCAAGTTTCACATTTTATCTTTTATTCATTTTTTTATCCATTTTGATTTACATTTTTATATTTTAGTTTTTATTTTATCCGTTGAATATTCATCCTCAAAATATCAAGACGTTCGAAGAGTGGGAATTTATTATTAGAGAAAATAAATAATTATAATATTGAAAATGACAATGCGGAAAATTATGATCTATTTGAGACAAACTCGAACACCGATGAGAACGAAGAGAATGTTTCGAACGTACGTAGAGGACGAAAGAGAAGGAGATTTTTAGTTAGTTCCGATAGTGAGAATGAGGAAGAGGTAATCGAAACTGCTATAGACGGAACTGTTTGACAAGAAGTAAAAGAAGGGTTTAATCCTGGCAGAGCACCTATTCATAATATTTTTAGGGAAACATCAGGCCCGACAGGGTATAGTAAACGAAATATTATAAAAGGTAAAGTTAGGACGGCATTTTCTCTGATTATTGATAAGAATATAATCGAACATATAAGAAAGTGCACAAAAACAGAGGCATTTCGAGTGTTGGGATATAAATGGGATTTATCTACTCCAAAGTTACATGCATTTACTGCACTCCTGTATGCACGCGGCGCATATGAGGCTAAGAATATAGATATAGCACTTCTATGGAACAAAAAGTGGGGTCCGGCATTTTTCGCAAATACTATGAGCAGAAATAACTTCACGGAGATTATGAGGTTTATTCGATTTGACGACAGAAATCAACGAAGCCAACGCTTACATACCGATAAATTCGCTTTGATTTCTGAAGTTTGGTCCAAATTCATTGAGAACAGTCAAAACTGTTATAAACCAGGACCATATATTACTATCGATGAACAATTGTTTCCAACAAAACCAAGGTGTAGATTCACTCAGAACATGCCCAATAAACCGGACAAATTTGGTATCAAATTCTGGTTAGCGTCCGATGTAAGTAGCAAATATATAATAAACGGCTTTCCATATTTGGGAAAAGATGAAAGGAGAGAACCTTCAGTTCCGCTTGGAGAGTTTGTCACTTTGAAATTAGTAGAACCGTATACAGGATGTGGAAGAAATATAACCACGGACAATTTTTTTACAAGCGTGTCTCTAGCAACAAAAGTTTTAGTAAAGAAAACTACGGTTGTTGGAACAATTCGAGCAAATAGAAGGGAGCTACCAAAATTGACGAAACAGAAAAAAGACAATATGACACGTTTCTAAACAAAATTATATCGTTCAAATAATTGTACTCTGACAATTTACAAAGCTAAACCAAATAAAAAAGTACTGATTCTTAGTTCAATGCATAACTCCGTACAAGTTGAAGAAAATGATACCCGTATACCGGAGACAATTAGATTATATAATAGCACCAAATTTGGTGTAGATGTGACCGACCGAATGTTAACAAATGTTAGAACAACTTTGATGTTTCGAGTAAATAAATGTTTACACGCCCGTGGTGGACATTTTGAACATTTAATTTGAAGAACATTTTGTTTCTTCACGAATAAGCAAAGGACTCAAGCGCGTATAATTCAATAACGCAATTTCCGAGCGCTTCAAGTAAGTACCTACAAGTCAAAACTTCAAACTGTTATATCTCATCATGGAAATATCTGACAAAAAAATGTTTCAGACAAAATTTACTTGTTTTTTCCTGTAGAATCTAAATATGTAACGTTTTATGGGAGGTTCCATTTAAAATTATAAAGGTACTCCCGCCCCCCTTAATCCTTTAAGGGGGGGGGGGCACTTCACGTTTATGTAGTTAGAAAGGCCCTTCAGATTCACGTAATTTAAGACCAAGAACTTTAAAATCGATGGCATAGTTTTCGAGATATTGAGCTGTTAAGAGTTATATGGGCCACCCTGTATATTGTTTTGCTAAATGTAGATGTACTTAAAATTGTATAATATACTTACATAATTAAGAAAATTAAAAAATGCAAAGTACTATTAGTGTACGCTATTTCCGTGAAAAAACGTCGAAAAAATCGACATACAGTTTTCGATTTTTAAAACTACGGCTATACCCTAACAAAAAATCTCCAGAAAATTTAGGACAATACTTATGACTAGACTGCGGCTAACTATACTAATTACATATGCTTTCCAAAATCAGCAACTGTATTCTTAAAATTAATACGAATCGAAATGCAGATTCAGACAGTATATTTAAATATACGTGAAATACTACACGTGTAATAGTACACGTGTCACCGTGTACTTAAGATGACACGTACTGACGTACGTGTACGTGAGATACACGTGCGCACATGTACACGTATACTTTTAATACACATTCAGAATCACGACTTCTAATTCAAGCGTTTATGTACTTGGTTGTAATTTGCACATATGCATACGATACAAAATGCGTACAATCCGCAGTCTAACGTTTAGAATGAATGATAGTTTGAAGACCCATTCTCAGCGCCGCGGAAAACGTTAATTAAAATTAACTCGACGAAGTGAAAAGCATCGTTTAGCAACATTTGTCCAGTGGAGTTTACGTTTTGCATCACGGCTGAAGTATTCTCGAAATTGTTCGACAAACAGAACATCTGTTTCGAGTACACCGGAGAGCATACGATGCTCCTCGATCCAGTCGCATACACGATACAATTCAACGCAATTGATGGCTTCTGTACAAACACATTGTATATAACATCACAAAACAGAGAATTTCTTATCTCTCGTTACCCGTGGACTAGTTTCTCGTCGTATCTTTTTAATTTTCTGCTTAGTGCATCTATTATGTTACATAGTGTATTTATTGCATCTGTTACGTTCCGAACAAAATTCGTTTTTTCTTTTTCTTTTACTTCGGCTGTAATACGTTACGATAATGCATAGCATTGTGGGAGCTATCTAATCGAACGCAGTACGGTCTTTGATGTTTATAAGATAATTTTTCTCATTGGCGACACAAATAAGCTTGTATACATAACGCATTCTTTTCTTTGGAGTCAACGTGGTCCCACGTTCAGAACGCTTGATTGTAACGTGAGGTAGATATTTGCTTCGCCGTACTACCGAATGTAAACCTCTGGCGTCCGATCCGATAAAATATCGAGCATCTCGAACTTTCTTCTTCGCGTACGCAGTTAAATTCAAAATCATAATCTAAATTGTTATAGAACTCGTAGTTGGATTTCAAATTCTAAATCATACATCGAACTCCATTGCTACACATCGGTCAGCCCATTACCTACTATACAGGGTGTCCCAAAAATATCCTCCGACCCGGAAATGTGGCATTCGGGGGTGAATGGGAACAACTTTCTCCTTAGCAACAATATAATCTGAGGCTCAGTTTCCGAGATATTAACGAAAAACCGCGACCAATCAGAGCGCGAGTTTGGCAGCCGAGTTCCCGCGCTAGCGGTGACTACGCGTTACGCTTGTACTACGAAGCTCCAAACAAGTAGGTCAACATGCATCGCAGGAAACTGCGTATAATAGCAAATAAAAAAGACGTAACAAATACAATCATACTTTTTATCATCTGCCGTTTGTTATTTAAAGAGATTAATGAATGAAACGTAAATGTAGGCAAATTATGTGTAACGTAAAAAGACGAATGTACATTTACTTTTTTGTAAATTCCTTTTTACGAATTTGTAAATTTCCTTTTCAAATAACGTGTGAACGAAAAGGTAATGTAACAGAGAATGAACGAGAAGTGATCGTAATTCGGTATTGGTATAAAAATTCGTAGTTTAATAGCGGTCAATAATGTTACTGATAATGAATAAGTTTCTTCAAAAAGCCCGAAGAAAAAGTTAGGTACAGAAACTTGCACAATTATCGTCGAAAATAACCCATAGTTTACACATAATTTGCCTACATTTACGTTTCATTCATTAATCTCTTTAAATAACAAACGGCAGATGATAAAAAGTATGATTGTATTTGTTACGTCTTTTTTATTTGCTATTATACGCAGTTTCCTGCGATGCACGTTGACCTACTTGTTTGGAGCTTCGTAGTACAAGCGTAACGCATAGCCACCGCTAGCGCGGGAACTCGGCTGCCAAACTCGCGCTCTGATTGGTCGCGGTTTTTCGTTAATATCTCGGAAACGAAGCCTCAGATTACATTGTTGCTAAGGAGAAAGTTGTTCCCATTCACCCCCCGAGTGCCCCATTTCCGGGTCGTAGGACATTTTTGAGACACCCTGTATATGTATTTCGTATGTAAGAGGAAAGGCATATCTGATTTTAACATTTACTATCTGTCTCCTTGGATAATAGTCATGTTCATATACCATTTAATTATTTGTGGAAGTTATGCCTTTCTCTCTATTGGTGTCATGTAAATTAAGAACGTTCCGTCTACAACTTTATCAAAATTCGGCGTACAGTTAAAATATCGAAACGTAGCAAGGATTCCCATAGCCGTGACTGAAAGAGTAGGGAAATTAATTCGGAGGAACCAAAGGAAGAAAGTTAGATTTAAAGGAGGAAGGACGTACACACTCCTATCACGTGTTCAATTAGCGAATCACGGTCCTCAACGCATTAATCTCGCAGCCTGATTCATCAGGCACCACAGTAATAAAGTGTAAACAAATTCGGACTAGGCCCGCTCTGGTCTCTTCCGAGGGTACAACGCTGCGACACTTTTTGATGTACAATCGCGAGGTGCGTGTCGCAGGGACCGTGAGGTATTATTTGAGATAGAGGTTTCTTCGCGCTAGCCTAAGAGCTAGAAAATACGACAAAAGGACTCATACCCTTACGAAAATTCATTTCATTGTTTAAATATTTTATTCTCTTTGTTTTTCTTTAGTTTCATTACTTAGTGTTAACAGTTAATATTAGTTTTAACAGTTCTATTTCGTGACTCTACTCAATTCGATATAAATTCCGTACTTAAATTCAATTAATCACAGTGCGTGTGTGTTCTTCCTCATTATGTCCGATTTTGATAACACCCAGAGATAAGATTCCAAAAAAAAAGGAGAGAATTCCAGGAATTTTGCAAAAGGAAATTTTGTTTGGAAATTGTGTCCAACATTGTTAAAATCTAGGTGAGTCGTTTCCCTTACTCTTCCAGATCAATTCACGATAAATTATCAGACAAATAAACTCCAGTAGTTCAGTTACAACTGTGGGGTTTCCCTTACTGGGAATTATTTGTATTTTATAATTTGTATACACGTATTTGCTGGTCTTTGAAGTCTAAAATTCAAACCGTTCCGTATATGTACCGAGCAACTGTGCGTTATAGTATTCTCTTGGCGATAACCTCTGTTAAATATTCCTTCTTCTCATTATATTCGTATACTCCTTTTTTTTATGTTCATTCTATGGTTTTATATCCTGAGCTATTGAGTTGTACACATTTAAAATTTTATAGTATTATTATTATATCATCTTACCAAAGTTAATGTATGTAAGTTCCTATTATGATTCAATATATATAATTCTCTGTTTCTAAATTCAAACCATTTACTTTCTTTTATATTACCTAGTATTTATCTTCCCTAATTTCCAAACAAGGCGATCTGGTGAAAGGGCCCGTATGGGACTAAAGTATCGACGAACCCAAAACAAAAATAAAAACCTTGATTGATTGTGTTTTAGATTTTATCGTTCACAGTTAGTTGAGGATATTTATTCGTTGCTGTTCCGGGTAAATTCTAACAAAATTTACTTTAGCGAGTTGCACGCGTGTTCCGCTCTGTAACTAAACAGACACATCATGTTATCAAAAATTCACACTAATTGGATTCCTGCGTTTTTGTATTGTATTATTTTACTAAAAGCATAGTAGTCGTAATTACACATATACATGCGCGCGCCTCGTACGTACACATCACTATTTCAATGGTAGAGTGTCTATTGTTTTGCAAGATAAAATTGTTATCGTTCTTCCTGTTGTGTATTTGTCACATACATGGGCGTAGCCAGGTTATCAGTCATGGCGTCGAGGGGGGGGGAGGGGCAAAAACCAATTCTTTTCTTGTAGGGAGGGGCAAAAGCCACTTTTTTCTACCCAGGGAGGGGGGGTAACTCCCCCCCAGCTACGCCCATGGTCACACATTTATAATGGAAAATATAATAGTTTTAAATCTTGTTATTTGGCCCATACCTTCCTTATGAGGGAGGAGGTTTGGCTCAGGCAGTGGGAATAAATCCGTTATTTAATTTTTGTATTGTTGCAGCAATTATAGAAAAGTTTAGTGTATTTATATTTATTACATACAAAGT